ACACACACACACACACACACACAGTCTGCCATCCTCTGAGTCAAAGCCCTATCTCCCATATGCTTCATTAATCCAAATTCACCATTACATAACTGTACTAAATGCTCACAAGAGTGGAAGGGTACAGCTACCCTCCCTGTATCTTGTGCACAAGTAAGAGACAGAGTGTGACAGAGAAAGAAAATCTGGTTACATGAATGGTTGTAGAGCTGCTCAGTTTGTAATCCTTTTGTATCTGCTTGAATTTGTGGGCTGCTGGCTGTCGCTTTCTCCCTTAAGGATGACCTTGCGTCTCCAAATTTACTGTATGTGTTATGTGTTGTGTGCATTCCCAGTTGCTGATCTGCAGGGAGACAGGTTTGGACATCAGTTTGTGTGCTCCTCTGTGGTCTAGTTGTACACCTTCAGACTTTATGCTTAAAAGCAAAACCAATTCTAAACTACAGAGCTCCTTTTGACACATACATGTTCACAAACAACATTTTCACATGTGTATGTGTTTGCTCACATCACATTTGTTAATAAGCCTTCCTTACACCTGAAAACCCACATATACACACACAATTTCATAACTTGACAAATGCTACTTCAGCTGGAAGTGCTGATACACGGCTGGTGTGTGTATTAATGCAGGTTTCTATTAGGCAGAGAGTGTTTCCTTGCTTGTGCTTTGCTCTGTGAGCCGTTGTGTCAGGCCTGCTTGTATGGGAACCGCAACAGCAGCTCTGGCGGTGACAAGATTAAGACCTACTCCATACCTTCTCCTCTCAAAGCGACCACGCAGCGCTGCCAACAAGACCCAGCTAACAAACTAAAAAAGCCCACAGTGGCACATGAAATGCATCAGTGAACAGAGCCATTCTGGCTCTGGCTCCGGGGACATTGTCGGCAGCCGCTTGCAATGTGGGAATTTCAAAGAACATATGGCAGCCTGTCGCCGTGAAACAGCCTGTGTCAAAATCTAAACAAGCTAAGAGCTATACCTGGAGAAGCCATTAACTGTCTGTTATCTGCCACACACAAAGACACACACGTCCAGCCACGCATGTAGCACACTAATGAGGTTAGCATGTGATCATGACAGGCTAGCAATGCTCAATTTGGGTCATTGACAAAGAAAGGCTTCAGTGGAGAGACAGGTGTTAGTATGTATTTTTATGTTAGGGTGATGGGAGAGGACTACCTCACTGCATGAGTGGAGACAGTTGCAGCACTGGGACAACAGCAGCAGCATTAAAGCTCCCCACTGTCCAATTATTTACCACTCCACACTCTGTTGCTCATCTGAGGTCAAAAACACCGTGGCTAAGTTTGAAGCTCTCTAACCATGGTTATTTGTACAAGCTGTGTTCACTGCAAGGTTGGGCACAGAGCACAGTGCAGAGGACAAATGTGGAAAACGCTGGGAAATTCTCCTAAACAAAAAGCATAGAATCATATGTTTCCCTTTTCCACAGAAGAACGCACTGGCACTGTCCTCTTGCAGAGAAGAAGACTTCAAAGGAGCCAGTGGTCAATAAGGGTTTAGATGCAGGAACCATTTTTGTTATTTTTTGTCACTTTAAGGTTACATTATCGACAGCTGTCCTCCCATTGGTCGCTCACTTAAAGAGTCACTGAGAAATAAGTAATAATAATAATGTAACTGAATCAACGTTCAGAGCACAGTTTATTAATATCTAAGTAGCATGTCACATCCAAAGCACCGCAACTGCAATGTTTGGCACTTTTGCTCTCTCCACAGAAAACAATAGTTCAAACAACAAGAACAATTCTGCCACTGATAACACAGAACCGCATTCAAAAATCTTTTTATTTTGCTTTACATTTTTGTGTGACAAATCAAAAGATTTGATACAGACGAACAACACAAAACAGACCAGCAGTAGCTGAGACAGAGACAAAATCATGAAACCCTGCAGACTGAGGGGTCCAGGATCATGGAAACAAGACTTAGTACCAAACTGGAACACAAGAATGTCAATAACACATAATGGTGTCATGTATAATGATATAGTGTAACTCTATTGTACAATGACACCTCAGCAGGTTCAAGCCTCACAATAGCTGTGGTTTCACTGGGAATTCAACACTTTCCTCACTCTTAGTGCCATATAATTACTTGCTGCTCAGTTCTCCACATCGTGACAGACTGCATATTTACATATCTACATTTCCACCAGACCTTATACAGTTCCATTGCCGGTGGTTAAGCAGGCTCTCGAGCGCTGACCTTTCATCACACTATGAACACCAAAACACTGCTGAGCAGAGAAAGGTATCTCCTCTGGCTGCTTCCTTGGTCTCATGACCCACCTATGCACCCACCCTCCCTCCTTCACTAACATCCCATCCCTCTGTTCCCATGGCAACCCCCTCATCTATTCCCACGGCACCTGCCTGCTGTCCGGGAGACACATAGAGATGTGACACTCACAGATGAGGTGAAAGAGAGAGAGAAACAGGAGACACACAGAGAAAGAGTTGACGCCATTTGGCATTTTAAAAACCTGCAGGAGAGATTGTTGAAAACAAAGACGGATACTTGGACATTTCATATTACAATGTTGCTTTTTGCATCAAGTAGAAGAAAACAAGTTTACACTCCTCATTATTACCAACTGGCACCATCAGACCTAAACTAACCTGAGCAGTGTGTCAATATGTGGTGCACATGGGTTACAAATATGAGTGACACTTATATCATTTAAGGGAAAAAGAGTGTGGACCAAACTATCCCATTAAAGCTGGGACAGACAAGGCTGACTCAGAGTATATAGTTAAAACAATGTTGAATGTGTAGGCATTCTGTAGGCATAAGCATTCACGCAAAAGAACAACAACCTGCTGTCTCCATGAACACATATGCACACTCACACACAAACCACAGGGGTTTTACATAAAAAACACATTGAAACTAACACAAAACATACACTTTGCGAAGTTGAGACGCTGAAAGAGAACACTTGAGTGTGCTTGTGTGTTGTTTTGAAGTGTAGGCATGTACCGTAGGAATGCTCGGTTTGTTTCAAATTAAATAACCAGAACTAAAACTAAGACATAAATAAAAATATAAAAACACACTTCAAGTAAGCAAAATACAATAAAAACTAAAGTTGAGAGAATGAAAAGAAAAGCTGTAGGAGACAAACAGCATGGCTGAGCAGGCAGGAAAATGGGCTAGGAGGACAGGCACTGTGTCTATGTGCGTGTATAAGAGCATATACATATAGTATGTGTGTTGTTGGAGGCGTATGTTCTTGCTATCCAGGTGAGAACCTGCTTAAGTTTTAGAGTAATAACTTTTTGGCACATTTGATTCAGGATTTGAGATTAATTATTAAGGTTACATTAAAAAGGATCAGATCAGATTTAGGGTTACTTTCATGATTATATGACAGCATACTAAAATGCATAATTGTAGCTTTCAATGGAAGCAAGAACTAAAAGAATTTTAAGCATCAAAGTTAATTCTTGACCTTGGAAATACTAGTTTGACAAAATAATTCCAACTCAGCTTTTTCTGGAGCTTCATCAGCAGATGGATCTCTTCACATGCGAGATCAGTTGCTGTTTTGATTTGATGTAAGTTGTAAGTTAAGAGAATAGTTCAACATCTTGGGAATTACATGTATAGCTGTACTAAATCTGAAATGTAAAAACTAAAATTTGTGGCTTTGCAGTGAATTTATTGCTGAAATAATTTCTTGGTCATCAGCGGGCAGGTGCAGTGACTTTATGGAGTGGGTAGGGTGCCTGGAGAAGTCACGGGATTCTGGTCATTTCAAGTGTCTTATATCTGTTTAAAATCCAGACGAGATTTAAGATACTTTCATTTATACTTAGCCAAATACTGTATGAGTTTCTGTTGGCGAGATTACAAATGTGATTGCAATCTGGGCAATATGCAAATCGGGGTTGGCCGTCCTCCATCCTAGGAGGTGGGAATGCACTTGAAGCTGTTTGGTATAAATACCAAAAATGCTAAAAGAAGAAGATTTACAACAATAGCAGTTCAGCTAGCCAGCTTACAGCTGTTGATATGCTAACACAAACACATGAATGAACCCTCACAGATCATTCAGTGGTTAACTTGATCAGGAATTGCGCAGTTTTTTAAGCCGTTTTTCTTTTCCCTTTAATGAGACAGAACAACGACAAATTTCCGTGTAATCTCAGTATAACTTTAGCTGCCACAAGGGCCGAGGAGACAGACCACAGAATATCTATATTTAAGAATATCACACAATAAGTGGCTTCAACGACAGACAGCCGTAGGTACACTATGTGAGGAGTAAAGATTATGTATGCGTCTTGGAGAGACGGATACATTAACATCTTTTCAAGATCTGGATAGAAATCGTCTCATACCCCCTCCGGAGGTAATTCCAGCACGTAATTCCACATAAAACCAGAACTTAAAATTGTTAATTTAACAACAAAGATACTTTGAATGTGCTTGTAATCATATTTTGAGCTTTGGACACAGCCAGTCTAACTGTTTTCCGCCCAGCTCTAGCTCCTTAGTTAATCTACAGAGATGAGAGTGGTATAGATCTTCTCATCTAAGTTTTGGCAAAAAGCGATGCATATTTTCCAAAATGTCTATTCTTATATAAGTTCTTCTTCTGCAGAAGACTGTGTGATACAGTAACTTTTAACACCACTGAGCTCACATGAATAGATCCATCTCCATGACAAGTGGATATGACTCCATCTGCTGAACAAGGCTGTGTGATATGGTTAAAACATTCAGAAAAAGCTAAGTGGACCTATAGCTGGGACGAAAAACTGAATTTCAGCTTCAGCAAAGCTGTCGTCAAGTTTAACAGGCTTCCAAATCCAATTTTCTCTGGATCAGTTATCTGGCAGTTTATAGTCAGGGTTTAGGAAATGTTTGTCAATGTGAAGTCATCACAAGAATATAAAAGCTGCCATGATACATCTGTATATCTAAATGTATGTATATGTGTGAGTATGCTTAATGTATGAGTACTCACTTTGGGTGTGGGACAGGAGGCGGTAGAGAGGCGTGAGGTGGCCTGGGCGCGGGGCGACTCCGAGGGCGTGGTGCTGAGAGATGCTGTATCCCTGGGCAACACCTGCACACCCCGTGATATAATGGAGTCTGGGATCTGAGATCACGCACACACACAAACGTACGCAGACATGTGTGCATGTAAACACCACACACTGTGTAATGATAGGCAGCACGCATACACATACTCATACTCAAGTTCCAGGAAGACACACATATTCACACAATGTCCAGATTACATCCATACATACATCCATACATCCATCCACACACTCACACACACACATATATATATATATATATATATATATATATATACACACACAAAACAACGCCAAGAGGACAAATATTTCAACATCTCTGATATATAGTTATATGTCAAACTTTAACGACCACGCCTACTCACAGGGTTGATGCAGATGAAAGGCAAATGGCCTCAAAAACGATGATGATGACAAATAATGAGATATCGGGGGGCGGAGTCTTACCAACATCCATCTGTGACTGGACAATGAGGTGGGATGTTACCCTGACAACAGAGCCATAAAGCAGGGTCCGGGCTGCAGACAGGGCAGGATAGGATGATGGGTATGGAGAGATACTTGATGTTACATGTGACTGCTAAGAGTAGACACACACAATGCACACACACACAAATGGATGTAGAGGCACACAGTCCTGATGTATGATATACAGAGATACATGACAGACCTAAAGAAGAGGTTTGCTGTTTTTCAACTCAAGATGTTTGTGCAATTATTTACACTTTTAAAACTTCACTTTTTAATAACAGGAAGCTCAGAGTGTAGTCAGTTATGTACTACTCATAAAAGGATCAGAAAGCATACTTTATATTGGCTTTCATTGACTTTTACTTTTGCATAGCTTCTGGCAAAGATGTGGCCGAGAGAAATAAATTCAATATAACCTTAAAGAAAGCTTGTTTTGCAATTAGCTGAGGCTCAATTCAGGCTGAACGTTCCAAATGCATTTTTTTTGCCAGATTTTGGAGTATGCAACAGGAGGGGGTTACGTAAGTAGCCCTCAGTAAACCCATAATCCAGTGTGCACATGGCAAATATTTAATGGAGCATTCGGGTGCTCCTGAGGCCTGTACCACGAAGCAGGATTTGACTTTATCCAGGTAACTTCTGGGTTAACCCTGGGTTTTCAGTACCACGAAGGTGGTTCACTTCTTACCAGGGTAGATCGCCATGGTAACTTATGCTGAACGGCTAACCTGCTCCGGCAGGTTATGTTCCAGATAAGAGATCAACTTTATGAAAACGCCGCCTACAGACCAATCAACTCTCTTGGAAAATGACATCACCATCTGTAGGAAATCCCAGACTGTTTTAGCCAATAGGCTGCTTTATGTTTGCAGCGGTGATATGGAGAAACTCTTGACTATAGCGATATAATCCTACAGAGACTGATTAAAAGCCTACAGGTTTTTACAGTACAGCAGAATAAGCCTACTCACTGCTTTGAAATGTGTTTAATATTTTTTATTTGCTCCCAGTTCGTTTCACACACCCTGACACAGTCGTTAAAATAAATAGGTTTTATTTGTCTTATGTGAGGCTGAATATTATGAGCAGTTTGGTAGGGATATTGAAATACAAATACCTTTTGCGATGTGGGCGCAAAAGGTGGGACAGTGAGTTTTCAGTAGCCTAAATGTTGAGATTGTCTTTCAACCACTAGCCTATTTGAGCACATTTTATGGCATGAATGGAGTTTTCGTTTCATTGCTTTATGAAGTTAATTTAGAACAATGTTTGAAACACTTTTGAGTGTGTTAAATAAATTAATCTTTTTTGAAGTGACGACAAGTTTTTGAAAGTGAGGTGGAAGACCACTTATTCAGTGCCCGAGTCTTTTAATGTGGAAACGCTGACACACAGCCGAGCTGAAAGAATAAGGCTGATATTTTCATACAGCTCATAAGAACACTTTAAATCAACGCAATATTATGCCTACGCCTGTTTATTTAGGCATTTACACTGTCTGCGATTTTCTGTCTCCCTGCATGTGTCAGATGCAGGCGTGCTACTGTCATATTTCTGTAGAGTTACAGTTTAATCCTCGTTCATAAAATATAAAGCTCTGCTGACAGTGGACTTGTTCATGTCTGCGATTGATTATCTGCTGCTAACACCGCCTCTTTTATGTGAACGCACTCCCGGCTGGATTGGGAAACCCTGGGTGGACTTACTGAGTTGATAACCAGCTTCGTGGTACCGCTTATCCCGATCGCCATTGTTAGGGTTAGTTAAGCCAGATAACGAAAACATATCCTGGGTATGATGAACTCGCTTCGTGGTACAGGGCCCTGGTCAACTTGTTCTTGTTAGCTGTCTGGACATGCTGTTAATGACAGGGCTTTATAGATAAATGGAACTTATTTTAATACTTACCCTTAACCTGGAACACTATTAAATTAAAGCATCACAGACGGAATTTACCCCTATATTCCCATTTAAACGTTGTTGACTATTTAAAGGGGCTATATGTAGTTTAAAAAAAATGAAATGTATCACTTTTTTATTGCCTGTGTGTGAAGGGGTTGTAACCTCACATACAAACGATCCACTTGTCGGGTTTTTCTGTTACCTCTGATGTCCAGTACGGCTATTCCTATGTTAAGACTCTGGGTCGTTTTTTTCAGGAAATCTTGCCTGCTGAATCTGTACCTTACACAGGGCAACACTGCAGGTAACAACATGGAGTCCGCTAAGTCCATAAAATGGCAGACTCTCAGCACAACAACACAGACTCCACGTTAGGATAAAAGTAAGCAACAAAATTCTATGTGCTGGAGCCCGTCAGGACAAACGAGAATCAGATCAACTTTGGGTGAAAACACAGTCAACATCAGAAAGGCTTGAATCATGAAGAGACCTTCGCTTTGTTTTGCATTCGACAAAACCGACACAGAGTTGGCTTTCATTCTATTGGACAGCTAAACTAACTTTACTTCAGTTGCCTCAGGTTAGATAATGTTAGCTCGCCAGGTAACGCCAACCAGTTGCTATCATTATCTGGTGCAAAACATTATAGTTGTATTAGTTTTTCATATTACTTCACCAGCTAACGTGATCCATATTACTATCCTGTGTACCATCGGTATTATGTCAGTGTTGATTTTAGCTTGCAAGAAATTATGTAACGTACAAAGCAAATGTGGAGGGATTTGTTTATACTAGCCTATAGTGAAGCAATGCAAGAGCAGCCAGTTCACATTAGCATGGATCCATGCTCTGTAACTTACGTGACCTACATGATACACAATAATGCAACATAATGGCGCAAAACACCACCACAGTGGAAGACTCATTCACTACAGTAATGTTACTTACTGCGCTCTAACGTTGTTATGAAGTGTGACAAAAGTCCAGCTCACTAACTGTTTTGTTATCATCCAATATGTTTAGCTGTGCTCACATTACTGAGCCTCCAGTGAAAGATACAGAAATAGTTACTGAAAAGCGGCAGGTGAGCTAACACCGATGTATTACATTGGCTAAATGCAGTCAATGTAATGTTATCATGTAACCAGCATAGATTAGTTCAACCTCAAGCTGATAAAAATATTGCTGTCATGTTGCAGTGGGAGTTTACATGAGTTTCCAGCATGTTGTGTGAAGCTGTCTCACGTTGAGTCGGATTTTGCTCGCTCATGAGTTTAGCATGTGTATGAGCACACACCAGGTTGCATTTAAAAAACTGCTCTGCTAGTGGCTGCTGGAAACTACATATAGCCCCTTTATGAACATCTTGATCTGAATATTAGGCTTAAGACAGGTATGAGAAGCACCCAAATGCACCATTAGTTTTGATCTATGTATGGCTAGATGGTTGCATTTAGTAAAGAGGAGCAGGATGTTAGCTATTGAGCAGGTCCAGCACCCAGCCTCTTAATTCAATCAAAGAAATAGAAACATTTTAGTGTGCACTTCTTGTTTTTTAATAAGAGCTTTATCATACATTTTGAAGGTGCCCAGCTGGACCACATTTAAGCCCAGCAGGAAGCAGCAGAAGAAGCATGTTATTAAAGTATGGGTTGAAAAACAGTAAATCTTTAATTTCAAGGTGCTACCTGTAGCATTTTTAAACATCAAGGTGTCATGTTCACAGTACCTTTATAATAAAATCATGACAGCCTTTTTAGCAGCCTGGATCAGGAATTATGCTCAGAACCTGGAAAATACAACTTTGAACATATATACACGTCTAAGAAAACAATGTAATCACAAATTTATATTTGTTCTAACGTCAGTGTTATCAAACATCCAATCTACAGTACTAGTACAGTGCAGTTCTTCCTGTTAACATGTACCCACAGGCACAGCAGAAACACCTGCCATAAATCAGAACAACAATCTTTGTATGTAAACCTATGTTAATTAATGTAAAATGTTAATTGTTAAACATTTTTAAAAAAAATTACATAATATTAAACCCCTAGTGTGGAGATAGTGTATCAGATTTGTTAGATATCTGAACTACCATAAGCTTAAAATGCTACATACAGCACCTTTAACACATGCTTGTATGGATGACGTGTGAACATGTAAAGATGACAGTTTGAAATGGATGGAGTCAGATCTATGAAAACAGCAATTGTGTGCAACAACAAACTCTCCCCTCCCATCACCTCCGTTACCTTGGCGGCGATGGATGCGGCGGTGATGTGGGAGGAGGAGCTGTCCTCTGTCGACGCCACACCGCTGTCTTTCTTCTCCTCATCCTCCTCCTCACACTGCACGCCCTTGTCCTCCGTCTGGCGGCGTGGCGAACTGTTGGGCGGCGGCGAGAGGGGCGGTGGTGGCGACGGCAGGTCCTCCAGCTCATCTGCGGCCTCCTTCACCTTCACCACTGCATCCCGCAGGAGGTCGATGGCGTGTGGCAGTGCCGGCAAGATGAACTGGAAGCATTCCTGGAAAGGTAGAGGGGTGCAAGGAGGGGGAGAACATCAGTGACAGGGATTTGGGTGACGTGGACAGTTGCCTTGATTCAAAACTGTCAAGCAATAGCTGCCAGCATCAACTAAATAAATAAAGGCTGGTACAGAATAAAGGCCAGTAAAAAAATATTGAGGGTGTTGTTTCCTGTACTCTAATGACTCACATTTTAAATTCAGCATACTGTAAACTGCACACAGCACTTATTCCATCAGTACTACAACCGATTCATGTTACATTCTCAATTCTGCCTTTCTGAGTGTCTGATTTTGACAGAAATGTTGTTTTCACTCACTCACTAATTAAAACCTCTTCTGCTTTTCTGCAACCCTTCTCAAGTACACCATACTTTATTCACCACACGCTTTCAGCTATCTCGCCTTCATAAGAACATCAGGGATAGCTGAAAACATTTGGCGAGTAGTGCATGGTGTACTAGAGAGAAGTTGTGTGGCCTGTTGTTATTTGGATGGACATGCACCGAATCTCGCACTGGTCTGCAACCTGCTGTGTGTGCATTCTCAAAGTGAGTGAATGTCACATACAAAGACTAACAGAAAAGGGAGAGTTTATGTCCTTTCAGCTGCTGGAAGGGATGCTTTCCTGTGAAACATCCATGCAAAAAAGATGACCAAGTAGAACTGAAGAACTAGAAATAAGTAATGAGTAAATTTTGAACCATTTTGGATCAAGAGAAAAAATAAAAACACTACTATAACCAGGAATACTGTTATCTACTCAGATCTATGGAACAAATATGTGTGGCCTAGTATGTCACCCTGTTTGAGGTAGTGGAATCTAAAATAGAGATTTCCTCCTCAACCTCTGTAAGTCACAGCGCCTCCCTCTGGCCACATTTATACAAGCCTGTGCTCATTCATTCCTCCCCGCATCTCTGTTTGCCTCCCCGGTGTCTCTCTGTGTGTCAGTGCGCCTGTGGGCTCCTCGGCAATGTTAAATGCTCCATTCTCCTCACACACATAACAAGAGGTAATCTGTGAAATTATTTATCATCCTGTGTATTTTAAGCATTGAGAAGATACATTATTAATCGCCCCCACGCTTTATAATATCTACGGTGGCTGCGAATGGGCTTTTGGAGCAACCTTTCCACTTCATTCACTGTTTTATCTGTGCATATCACAGGCTGGATCAATTTATGATGATGATAACCTTGATTTGACTGAATTTAAATCCCATAGATCCACACTAGGATGCATGGTTTGCCACATCATCTACCACTGTGCATATAAAAAATACAAAAAAGGGAGAGCAGATGGACTCCTCAGACCGGGAGATGAAAAAGGTTGGATGGGTTAATCTCAGTAGTTGACCATGAGCCCGACAGCCCTGCTGTGTAGCCACAAGCTAACCTTTTCACCCCACCTTTACTTCACACACACATATACACACCCCAAAACCCTCAGCACACGGTAGACTGTTTATACCTCTTGCTGGTGTGTTTGAAGCCCACATCTGAGCGTTTTTGGAAGACATCTTTGGGTGAAGTGGGGAGGGAATGGGCAAAAGAAGGAGTGAGGATGGTGTAAAGAGCCTGCAGACATTTCTCCTTTCCCATTTTGTGCTTTCATTGTGGGCCGGGAAAATTTTTAGATACGTGAGGAGTGTTTTTTTTTTTTGTCTGCTCTTATTCTCTGTTTTGTCCTGGAGGAGAGTAACTGTCAAAAACACTAAAGAGCAGAATCCCTGGATATACTGCCAGCGGATGAGAAACACAAGCGAGAGTGAAGGATGGAGGAAGAGGGGAAGGCACCGATGTTCTAAGAGGGGGTTTGCAGGAGATGACGAGAGAGAATGACATACAGAGAGGGAAAGAGAGAGAGTGGGAGAGACAGGGAGGATGAGATCTCGAGAGATTAAGAGAGAGAGTTGGAGAGAGACAAGAGGCAGTGAGAGAGCAAAATAGAAACTGCAACAAAAAGACAGTGAGGCAGAAATAACAAGTGAAGAAGAAAGAAAGAGAAGCAAGAGAAATACAGAAACAGGGATAGCAGTGAATAAGAGATGGGGAGTGAGAAAAACAAGTATCTTAAACACTTAAATTTCTAAATCACTAAAGTTGCAGGAAACCAGACATAACAAGTGCAGAAGCCAGGGCCTCAAAGCCCTTACATCAGGGACCCCCAACATTTTGAGGGCCGTTTTTATATTGACAATATATTTATGTACCAGCTGACAGTGTGTGTGGAGGGTCCAAAAAATGTTTTGTGATATTTTAACACAAGTTACAGCTATTGTCTTCGCCACCTCCTCAAAAGAAAATTTTAAGGGAAGCAAATTTCAGTTTCAGTTAGCTAGATACAACAACACTAAGCACAGCGTACGCAGATTGAGTAGCTTAACGAATGATGATAGATTATGGGACAGGAAAGCTGAAAAAATATGTTTCTGCGACACATAATTAATAATGTTTACTTTCTTCACAGCCCTCTTGAATCATTGCTTTTTAGTGTGATTTACTGTACAATTTTACATCTTCAATCCCGTAAAAATGATTCATATAAAGTGAGGGAACTAGAATTGACGCCCTGCCTGTTGTATGCCTCCGCTAACCAGTCAAGTTGTAGTCTATCCAGACTCATAATATACGTAGTGAATACATGGAAGGAACTAAATAAAAAGGTATAAAGTGTTTTTTTGGTTAAATGGAAATTATCGCTATGTTGATGATAGGATTCCAGTGAATATACATTAATGAACTGATTACTAAAGGATTATTGTTTTGGCTAAACAGGTACACATGTACTTGATTACAATGTAAAGGTAGATTCCTATACAGTATAACTACACAAAATGTGGTGCTTTCGATTTCTCCTGCATTTTTAGATGCAAAGCCTCTGGATGAGGGGTTGGGGAAACCCGCTCACAGGATCACGATTAGCTAGGCGTGCTCCAATACGTTGTTTGCAGTCACGTGATTCAGATCACGCTAAGAACTGAGAGGCAGGAAGTGAAAGGCAGAATGGACAGGATGGAGAAAAAACCCGTACTGTGCTATTTATCGTTACTCGTTGTGTCGTCCCAGTTACCGTGTTTGAAATCTGGAATCGCCCAATTCATTCTTAAATTATAACTTAGACCTTTAAGTCAAAAGTGTCACTTATTCAGTGTCCAACCATCTGTGAAATATGGTCACATTCTCCCCTTCTGTTCCTGAGTTATGGTGTTGAATAATCGCCAAGAAAGTGTTTTTCCAGGGCACTGTGATTTCACCAAGTGAGTTCTCAGCAAATTACAGATGATGTTGTACACACTAAAACAAGGATTTGAATACAACACAAGGTATAGATGTAGTGGTTATGCAAATATGATATTTGATCATATCTCAGAAGGTGAATTTTCAATCACTTATGTGTTTTTTCCTTTCAGTAAAAAGAATTGTCTGTCCCATAAGGCAGAAATGTCATTGCTGTGTGTAGAAATGTCGTCACAGTGGGTATAAATGTCTTCCCCACAGGTAAATATTATAACTGCAAGTGGAAGCATCATCACCAAGAGATGAAATGTCATCATCACATGTACAAAAGTTGTGATCAGTCAGCATCATTGCTGCAGGTAGGAATGTCATCCAAGAGGGTAGAAATATTATCACCATGTGGCAGCATCATTACAGCTGCAGATGTTATGTCCATAAATACATCACAGAAAAGCATTAGAAATTACATTACCATGAGTAAAATCATTAATTGTGGTGTATATATTCAAGATTTTGTGTAGAAGCATCAGTACAGTATGCAAAAGTGACTGTACTGTTGAAGGAACAATGAAACCATGGTCATGCCCTGACAAATGCTGAGTTGAAAAGTGTTGGCCATCATGCAAAGTCGGTCTACAAGCAAATCATTATGATTTATATGTAATGTTCTTAATCACCTTATCCCCAATTAATATTTCTTTCCCCAGAGCCTGAACCACATAATTTAATCTAATTAAATACAAAGCTAAATCACCCCTTTAAAGATGTTTCTTTTTTTGCATTTTCAGGGCAAAACAAATGAATCCAAACGATTTTTAAACTAAATTTATCTGCAGTGGTCAAAGAGACCAAATAATCAGTTAAAGAGGTGGTATTATGCTTTTTGGCTTTTCCCCTCTCCTTTATTGAGTTATTTCTCTTTTTTGTGCATGTAACAGGTTTGCAAAGTGAAAAAGCCCAAAGTCCAGCCTAAAGGGAGTTCCCATCTCCCACAGAAAGCTGTGAAGAACCGCTTGAAAACAGCTCGTTTGTAGTCCAGCCCTTCACTTCCTTTACTTGTGACGTCACAATGAAAATGCGTCATAAAGCTTGCCAAGCAGCTAGTGGGTCAGGCACGCTCTCAAACCAAGCTAGTCTCCGCGGAGGCCCTTTGGCTCGACTCGCCTTTGTTTGGTTTTCAACTGTAGAAATGTTGCACCTGTACCTGCTTCCAGGTATTTTTTTTCGTATCGCCTCACCTCCGTCGAGGTTCCAAGTGAGCTGAGGGATACTAAAATGTAACGTGAAAACACGACAGACTGCTGATTGGTCAGAGAGAATTGTCACTATTCACTGCATCATCATTGCTTGCGCCAGACAGAGGCCAGCAACAGAAAGTTTTATATTTGACAGTTTTCATATGTAATTTCATCACTAAATCCACTTCTGAGAAGTTTTGAGGTGAGAAATCAGCTGTGTAGATTTTAAATATTGACAGTTTTACGAGAAGTGATGGCGGAACAAAAATGTGCTTGAATATTTTCGGAGTTGAGGAGCTCTGCAAGTGGCTGCGGGGGAAGCCTATGCCAACCCGTGGGAGGAGCATGTGAGGCCGGCCAGCCGCCCGCTCACAGAGCCCTCGGTGGTGGTTGTGGTAAGGGTAATTGGCTTCGGGGGGCTGTAAACAGTAACATAGCTAGCTAGCTAGCTAGCTAGCCAGTCAGCTAGCTGCAGCATAGATCGTCAGAACACCGGCAACAGTTCAACGTTTAGTCCTAAAAGACGATGCAACTCCAACTCTGTTTGGGCCTGGAAATTACTATAATGCTAATGTTACACCTGATGTAAAAGCTACTGAGCAAATGTTCAAATTGTTCGGCCAATTTTTATGTAAAATTTAGTTGAAATATGGTGATTTTTGTAGTGGTTTATGGTAAGATGTGGAACAATGATGTTGTGTGGTTGTGGACTTGTGAGTAACTTATACCATCTGTAAAGGTTGCAGTCTGAAGCGGCTTTGATTTGGATCACACTACCTTGTTTCTTATGACCCACCCTTCTCTGCTTCTGATTGGCTAGTAGTCCTTACCTGGGAACTGCGCATGTGCAACTCCCATCAAAGATTTTGTACAAGTAGGATGCATCACTCTGTAGCTCAAGAGCGGAGCGTACAACACATAGGGTGAAAAGAGGAGCTGCAGCAATGTGCAGTATGAGAAAAATATGGTGTTTTTTGAAAATTAAACCATGTAAACCTGTTCTGGTACAACCCCTGATTAAGATTTTGAACCTGAACCTCTTTAAAAGATGCACAGCCGACACTGTGATATAAGGAGCTTCGTCTGGCTGGCTCAGATGGACGTCCCCGTTATCTTTATGACAGGAGATCTTTATAATAAAAGCCTGCAATGAGCGGCTTGTGCAGTTAACTTTAACTGGGGTTTGATGAGAGAGACACTAATATGGCAGCAGATGGGGGAGAGGTGGTGTAATTGATTTAAAGAAATACTAAAATCGATCAGGAGAAGCGGGCGTGTAACAAGACAGAGACAGATGTGCAGGTCAGCACAGCAGAGAGGGAGACAGATGGAGGGGGAGAAGGAGACATTAGTGGGCGTACGCGCACACACACACACACACACACACACACACACACACACACACTGTAAGCACAAACCCCCACATGTACTCTGCATCTATACCTTTATACATAAAGAAATACATGAAAACACAGAAATGTACAAATGTATTATGTAAATTCAGGATGTACTACATTGCACTGATTAATGAAGATCGGCCAAGGGGATCACAGCATCAGCCTTACAGTGTTCGAACACAATGCATAGCCAACACCGAATCTCAACATTGCTTCTTTGCCCAAAGCATTTATCACTTAGCTAATCCATTCAGTCTATGGTCTATCCTTACAAGGTCAGTCTTAACTGGAGACTCTGATGCATTACACGAGCTACATTGGAGGCTGTAGATTACATGCATGACATTATAAAGAGAGCCAGTCAGTCTGTCTGTAATGAAACAAAATATAATCTTGACCTTGGGTTACCTCAAAATGGATCACAGAGTGCATCCTTATCAAGGCAGCTGCGTCAGACAGTCAACCCAACAGAGGCTGTCACCTTTGGTTTACTTTAGCTCAGCAAATTAGCCTAACATGACCTGGGGAAATCTGTGCGATATTAGCCTTTACATCGTGAGACAACAAACACAAAAAAAAAACACACGGCTCTATGGCGAATGCACAATGCATCAATTCATCATTCAAATGAATCCACATCGAGGCATAAACACAAGGCATACACCTTCAAATTCATACACCCACTGTACACATGCTGCTTACACATACACACACAGATAATGACTGCAGCAATGTGCAGGTAAGAGTCTAAAGTGAGGTTGACCTTTACATAAGGAGTCATGCTACTAGAACAATGCTAAGCCAATGCTGTCCATACAGACAGGTCATTGCTAACTAGTTACAACATTCAGGACAGAGTCACTGCTGGTTGCTATGTATCTCTCAATTCTTTGTTCATACTGTATACTGAAGATGTCCTGAGTGTGGGACCACAACTGTAGCACTACCTTTTTGCTATATTTTGTCTTGAAAAACAGTATTCTGTAACGAAAGGTCAACTTGAAATTCATAACTACACTGTTACACCTTACAATTTTCCTCTCAGTCACTCTCCCTTTCACTCGCTGATGGCTGCAAGTAACCATGTGAGTCACTGGCCTAACCATCTGATGTAATTAGTGTTTTGCTCAAGGACATTTTGACATGCAGACAGAAATTGGGAATCTAAACTATCACGAGACCTTTTTTTCCCCCCAACAAGCACAGCACCTGATCTGTCACCTGCAAGTCTGAGTTTCTTGTGTTTATCCTCCTTGGCACTTGCTGGTCAGGTGAATATTAACTACACCTAACATTAACCGGAGAAGGGTGATGTTGTTGCAGCAGTTTGCAGCATTACCTGGGAGCCTTTCTTGCTTCCTGGTAAGTTAATGATGAGTGTCTTCCCTCGGATACCACACACAGGTCTGTAACACACAATCACAGGGGAAAGTTTATATGAATACAGAGGAAGAAAGTGTGACAACACTTGATTATGGGGATATATGCATCTCCCTCTACCTCAATTCCATATTTCACAGCGCACTGCACTATAATAGATGATAAATTAAATCACTCACCATTCTGTCTTACAAGAAAATGTGGGCTCATCCTCTTTAACCAACAGAAGGGGGACGCACTGTACATTATTTATCTACAGTGTAAGGCTGTAGTGGAATAAAACCTTACTATCTCTGCTCTGTGAAATACAGTAATTATGTCAGGTCACAAAAAAGAAGCTGGCATTAAATGCTATACCCTTGAAAAAAAACCTTGAAACAGTGTATATTGTTCATGCAAACTGTTTGTTGTAATTTTTGTGTGTTTGCTTATACAGTATATGTTAATACAATTCCCGTGCACAGTGTCTAAATAATCTTTATCTCAATGACACAACGTGTTTAAATAGAGGATTGAATAAATGATTTAAGTAAGTTTGTTTCGCTTGTGTCGTATGTGAGAGTACATGCCTGACCTAGAAAGCATGCCTAGTGGTGTAACGTTGAGAGATCCCATCAGCATCGCAAGAGACATCCCAGGGGCCTCGCGCTCTATCACCTCCTTAGTGGCCTGGAGAGAAGAGAGATAAAGAGGAAGGTCATTAAGGTGATCATAGTCTAACTAAGCACGAGTCCATCCTAAGTATTTTTACATCCTACTAGGATTAGTTTACCCATGCAGTTTAGGTCGGTTTCAGGAAGCAGTTTTAACTTAAAAGAAGACACTGTAGTGTTCTTTAGAGGTGAGACTGTCATAAAGTTTAAATTACCGGACGGGGTTTCTATAAAGAGATGGATGTTAATGGACAGCAATTCCTCACGCTTAGAAAAGCCACTATAACAAAACAAGCACAGACAAAACCATCTTTCCTTAAGTTACAGGGACTGCCATGTTACCTGTGGTTAAAGTGTTAAAGGTTTTGTCACTATAAAACATGAATACAGAACAGAGAGAAACAATATTTAAAGTATCCCTCTTGTCATCATATTTACTTTATAACTGGTAGAACCAATGGAATAATTAACATCTGGGTTGTTTTCGTTTTTATATTCACTACTTAATCAATTTGTTGTATCAGAAATAGTTGAAATATAACACTTTTTTTCATTTTAGTCTCTAGATTTTTCTTTTTTAATTCTACAGTAGCAGCAGAAACTTAAACCAAATTTTAATATGCCTCTCTGAAATCACAGATACTCTATTTAACTGTCTCATTTGCTCCCGTCTGCTCTATGTTTCACTATAAATATCATTTGAGTGACTAGGTCAGCTGAACGGTGGGAATAAAACACAACAGCTCCCTTTATCACAAGTGTGGTGGAAACTTTATTCCATTAAATTTTTGTAAGTGAACCAAGGTTTGTTAACAAAAACCCCAGGGACTAAATTAAGGCATTATATAAAAAAATCCTTTATTTCAACCCACATCGTTTATAAGGACCTGGATACTGGGTAGACCCCAATCCAGACTGATTTACCATGACTGCAACAACAGCGTAAAAGAATGGAATGTTAAAGTCCTCGAACAACAACATTACAGGAAATCAACACTCAATTCCTCATAGAATATGTTGCGCTAGGTAAAGCGGTAAAACTGTAACGCTGTAACAGTCATGCAGGTGACCAGGAAGTACTAATTGTCCCACATTTCTACAATAAGCACCTGAATGCATGTCTTGACACAAAACATCTGGACTACCCTTCAAATATTGATTTACAATCCCTTTTGCACAATCTACATCTCAGCTGTCTGAAGGCGGAACAATCCTTATCTGACCTGTCACCCTCCAATCTACATCCCCCATCAGCAATCAAGATTGATTCATCTTTTACATAAAATATAGGAACAGGTGGTCAGTCTGTGCAAATTAACAGAATGTTGAATAAATTGATCCTACAGCCTAGGATTTTACAGGGAAATATTTTGTAAACAATGTGTGTAGGCATTTTCGTTTGATATTGTTTTATTTCATAAAAACCAACAGGGATATATGGCGTTTTCCAGGGGTGGCTGTTTCGCCAATTCCACCATCTTTGCGGTGACATATGCAGACACATGCATTTGTTTGTGTGTGAGTGTGTGTACATTTTTTGGGACTGCAGTCGATGCGGCACGTTCTTGACAGATAGCGGAGAAGATAGTGCCTTCTCCTCCAACCTGTGTGTGTTGCATGCCCTTGAGTTGAGTGACACTTCAAACGCACCATTAGCGAGGGACAAAGGGAGGGAAAAGACTTCAAAGAGAGAGGAGCCACCGATGAGCATCTTGGGCTTAGACTCGGGAGAAGAAAGAGATGGAGGGAGGGAAGAGAGACAAGGAGAGGGGGAAAAGTGTGGGAGGGAAAGAGGTTGAGATGGAAACAAGCGGGAAGGAATCAGACAAAGGGAGGGATGAGGCTGGATTTGAACCTCATCACACAAAGTCACTGATTGGAGGAAGAGGGAGATGGGTTAGTTTGATTCAAAAGGCATGCATTCAAAAGGAACGCCTGGAATGTTTTGGGCAATATGTTTGTCTAATTGCAGGAAAAAAATGTGGGAAGTTTTGTCTTAATTACATGTATGATGAGGGTAAGGCAAGAATGAGGGTATGTGATTAAATATGACAAAAAGTGATAATAAAATAGATCTAGTACAGTTTGAAAATTCAGGAAATGTAAATGTTTTATGATCTCTGCAAGCATGCTATTTATTGAGGTATTCCGAAATGAATGTTTCATTACACCAGTACACAGGCACTTGTGTATGTAGGCATTGAAATTTTTTTTTTTAGGAAGTTTAGTCCTGTTAAATATGGGAACAGACTTCCCATACATCCTCCACGCTTCTTGTGCCATGGGCTAATCACCAGAAATCAATGTACTTGCATGAGGAAAGCAATTAACCAAGAATACATCTGTTGGATGGCGACTAACAGGAAGAGATCAAGCTGCAACGCCTTATTGTAGGTTTACATGAGGTGCCGCTTTAACCAAAACAATATCCATCTTTGCCAAACAAAACCATGGCAGAGTAAATTTTGTATGAAACTTTTAAATCCTGATGTTAGGAAGACTTACAGAACAATGCAGGTAGCAGCTATGGACAAACTATTAACATTGTTTCAGCTTTAATTTTGGAATTGCCTTTATGTGGTGTAGTCTACCATACCCATCTTTTTAACATCAAAATATCAGCTGCAAGGGTACAGAAAAAACATATGGCCAGAGTGTCAGGATGAAGCAAACCAGCATGGTCTTCGCAAGAAACTGAGATGTGTGGTAGGAATGGAATTGAATACATAGTTACTAGTTACTACTAGTAGTCATTGCCACAGGAGTATAGCAGGACAACTAAGAGGCTGCCGCAAACCATTAAGGTGTTTTTAAAAGGCAACTCAGGTACGTTTCATCTGGTTATGTCCCTGCAACAAGATTGAAATTGCAAAACCACCACCTCAGAAAACTGAATGGATCCCTGTTGGTTTATATATAGGGGTGCTGACAAATAATGCAAGCACACATTCTGTATAAAATATAATGAACAACCGGCCTTTCTGGGGAAATTTCAAGTTGTCGAGTCATTTGCACAGACTGATCAAGAAAAATACACATTCCGATATTCATTTCAACAACAAAATTAATCTTGATTGCAAATGAAGATGGGGAGGTAACAGGTCAGATAAGGATTTTTCATCTCCCAGACAGCTGAGACATGGTTTGTTAAATTGTTAATAGATGTGGTATGTAAATACAGCAGCATGTAGTCCTTACTGTAATAAAAAAAATAAGGTCATTGGCCTTTAAGTAGCATTTTTTATAAAGGACATACAGAGAGCTCCTTGATTACAGAAAAGACATGAAATGTAATTTGTTACTTCCGTCCGGCTTTAAGCTTATACTGAATGCAGTCATATGTGTCTTGTACAGCCTTCAAACAGACAGAGAGATACCGTTGTCTCCAGCATACAGGGTTGAATCAGATAGCAGGTATTATCAGTGACTACAGTGTCTATGTGTCTTACCCCTTCCAGGAAGCTTGCTGTCTACCATGATTGATGAGGACCATTGATACTGCTGAGAACCACAGCTCATCCCCTGCCAAATGGCTTGTGCTTGTGTGTGTGTGTGTGTGAGAGAGAGTGAGGTTGAAAGAGTGCATGTAACAGAAGTATAACAGTGTAAATAAATAAAAAAAGTTCTAATCTATAGTGCTGCAGTTAACAGTGTGTGACGAGTTGGGTAAAGAAAAGATGAGAAAGATAAAGACTAAATGTAAATTCTTGCATGTATGCACAGTAGTGTACTGCCTTCACAGTACAGTAGACTGTATATATACATGCAAATATGTGTACATGCATATAAATTGGGTACAGAAAGTCTTCAAACAGTTTAAAACATTCTTTTTATGTTGTCTGAAAAGAAACCAGTTGTATAGTATTTGGTAAGCAGCAAAATTAGGGAAAACATTAGATGTGACCACAACTACATTAAACCGCTTTGTGAAGCCTGCAACGACAATTTATTTGTTTCATGTAATCAAAGCAAAATTGTTTGTGTTAAGTTTCCCCTTTAAGTGAAATGGTGTTGTAGAAACAATCAATGTGGCACGATGACAGCAAGCGAGTTATCAGACTTAAATATATTGATTAAATTAAAATATAGTCAGTGTTGGGAAGGTTACTTTTTAAATGTTACTGATTACAGGTTACCCTATTTAAAATGTAATAGTAACTATTTCATTTAATTACTTTTTGATTACTTTTCTAAATTTCTAATGAATGTTTTCAACTGTTAACTATTTTCACAAGACAGCATGAGAGGCCATTTAACTGGCAGATGAGTGGCGTTGCAAATTCAAAAATGAGAACCAATCAAAAGCCTCAGAATAGCATTAAACTTTACTAAACGGCTGTTGCTGGAAATGGCAAAGGAAGACATTGTGCACATGAAAAAACATGCAAAGCAACAAAATGAATATTATGCAACACATAGCCTAGCTTTTTACAAATATTCAGATATAACCGCCTATGTAATCATGAACATTTTCATAAGTAACTGTAATTTAACTGCACATTTCTTCCCAGTAACTGTAATTAATTAAAATTACATTTTTTTTGTAATTCAATTAAGTAACTAAATTACATGTATCTAGTTACTTCCCAACACTGAATATAGTACAAAACAAATGTCAATGTCAACTACTGACATTTGTTATAATCATAGTGGTCAAGATTGAACAGCAAATGTGTCAAGGCAGTAAAGAAACTATGGCCTCCTCTCCTGTAGTTTATCTATAATCAGTGATGGAAACACTCAACAGACCCATACTGACACCTGCCACCCATTATCTGTGAATTGCTTGCTACACAACTCCATATTTTCCTTGAGAAAGTGAGACAATAAGGACCTAACTTCTGCCTCTTTATTTCCCATGCGACCGCGGGGCTAATTACACTGTGTGTTAATCAGTGCTGCAACGCACATGTGTAATCAGCAAAAACAGGCTCAGGTTCTCCGAATAAAGCACAGGCAGTAATAAGAGAGATCTACCTTTCAATAGCCTTTCCCTCTAAAACAAAGAAGAATTTTACACATTAGCTATCATCATACTTCTATTGTAGTGATATACAGTTCCCTTATATGAACTCTCAAAACAGTGTCCATAATTCACCCCGAGCTGTCCTCTTTGATTCTTATGTAACATGTTTCTGGCTATATTTTAATACAGCTCTCAAGCTTCATTATACAGTTTGCTTATGCGACTGAGAACATTGTTCACTATCACTCTTTTGAGCAAGTTATGCCAACACTACAGTATGTCATGATGTATTCAATAAACAACGCACGCTGCTTTACCGTGTTTCTCAATTCCAAAAAAAAAGAGTAAAAATGGTTTCTTAAGGAGAGAATTGGGATTGACACATTTAAACCCACCTCTGGTGTGACGTCTCTCGGGGCAAAGCCAGTGCCTCCGGTGGTTAGGATAAGGTTAAGTTCCTTTTCATCGCACCAGTCCACCAGAGTCTCCTGTCGGTTCATACACACACACACACACACACACACACACACACACACACACACTATTAATTAGAATCATAACTACAGAGTGATACTGTAGATAGATACAGGCGATAAACAGATTTTGATAGATTACATGCCTTGATTTCGTCTATCTCATCTGGCACAATCTTGTAGGCCGAGATCATACCCCCCAACCTGAGAAAGGAAGAAAGTCATTAGATTACAGATGCAGTTATTGACATATTAGATTCCAGACAAGATACTTTATTGATGCCTGCAAGAAAATCCTCTTTTGTCTTGCTACCCTTCTGCAGGGAGGTCAAAAAAGTCAGCTAAAGAACGGTGGACCTTGTCAGAAGTCAGTGTTTTCTTTGACAACCCTTTAGCTGAAGAAGAATGCTTAGATTCAGGATGGGCATACATACATATATATACCTTGCTGCCACAAGTGAAATGTCCAAGTGGATCAGCAGGTAGGCAAGTGGCAGACCTGGGATATTGTGGGCTCACCTCTTTCTTTCTCAGAGTAATAAAGCAAAGCCCTCTAAAAGAGTCCCAGATCCCAGATGTTGCCCCCCAAAGCTTGTAAATGTAGTGTTTGTCTGACTGAATCAATGTCTGTTCTTCATTTCCTGGCCTAACACAAACAAGACTTTAAAAGGAAGTATGACAGAAATAAAGACAAGAAAGAGAGAGAGAATCATAGAAATATAAAAGCAAATAAGGAGGAGAGAGAGAATGCCCTTGAACATCCCTTCCTGAAAGGATATTCCACAGGACGGCCCACTGAAGAGGGAGCTCTGACAAGGACAGAGCTGCTGCTGATGCTGCTGTTGCTGCTGAACAGCAATCCATGGCGACCTCCTGTGGCCAGAGCAGGTATGACAGTCCAAAAAGAACAACCCCAGGCTCAAGGTGAAGGCTCTGCACAGACACCCCTTATGTAACCCTTTTCTTTTTTTAAAGGAGCGCTATTTTTGGGAGACTACTGCATCATGTTTCCTCTCCGCGTCAGCCACTTAAACGCCATGATACCCTCCCTCAGACAGACAAAAACCTGTGAACTCTGTGAACATTAAAGCATCTGCTATTTTTCTGCCTTTGAAATGCTTTTTTATCCACACGGAAACTCTCTCTTCACTCTTCACACACAGAATTACAAAGAATACATTTCGCACCCTGGAAATATCATTCACCAAATCCATCGGCTGTGCTCAATTTTTAAACTGTGCAACGGAGCAGCAGAGAGACACACTAAGCAGGACACCACCAAAACGCCGTAGCAATGCATGCATGGAGACGAAGCGTGAAGCTCAGAGGGTGGCTGTCTGGTTCTGACAAAAGAGGCAGAGAAGTCAGAAACAATCACTTGAGAAGTACTTTTTCATGAAACACCGCACATGGCCACTCGGAGCATCCACTAACTTGTGCACCAACACACACACACACACGCACGCACCCCTGCTGACATTCCTGTGACGGCACGAGTGATTTACTTCTCTTGATGTGCTTGGGAGGGAGTTTTTTTTTTGGCATCTCTGTATATGTATGATTGTGTTCATGCACGTGCACTCATCTGCTTTTGTGTTTGTGTGTGTGTGTGTGTGTGTGTGTGTGTGTGTGTGTGCCTGTGTTACACCTCGGGAGAGTAAAGGAGCTGTCAGGACAAATCACCTCTCTCCCTCTCCTGGGGTTTTTATGCCTCTCGGTTTCAGCCCAAATGAAAATATGCTCAACACAAATAACTAGGGTTCCTTCCCACCGTTTCCTAGGCAACCCCTCCTGCCTGAAGCCTCTAGTTGCTGTGTTGTTCATCGTGAGAGGAGTGTGTGAGAGTTTGTGTGAGCCGGTGAATGTTTCTGTTTTGTTTTGTTTTTTATAACTATCGGGGATGCCAGTTCTGTGCGAAGGCAGCAATATGTTGTTGACTGGACATTTTTTGAGTGTGTGGGGGGATCTTTTAGTTGCGTGTTCATGTAATATCTTTAAGGAATGATGTGATTTGTGTATTCATCTATGTCCATGTCCATAAACACAAAATCTATTTTTACAGACATATATGTGTGTGCACGCTTATACATTATATTACAGTAGTAGATGTATTTGTAGATATTAACAAACATTATATGTATGTTTATGTTTTATATCGCTGTCATTGCATGTATACTGTATGTGTTTTGTTTTGTGTATCTCTGTGTATACATGGATACACATACAGAATGCATTCACATACTTGTGTGTATATGCAGAGCAGAGAGGTGTTTCTGTTATTTAGCCAATGCTTAATGATGTAAATGTGCTGGACAAAATACCAGAAACACCTGTCAGTAACACACTGCAATTCAACAGTACCACAAACTACAGCTTTCAGAATTACCATACAGTTCAGTGTCAACAAAAACACAACTTTCATGAGATTAGGATTTATTGCAAGACTGTTCAGATTGCATCACATGACATTTATTCATTTAGCTGACGCTTTTATCTAAAGCAGTTGCTACTAGGGGTTAAGTGTCTTGCTCAGGGACACATTGGTAGATGTCTCACAGTGGAAATTTAACCCGGGTCTCTCATACCAAATGCATGGGTCTTATCCACTGCTCCATCACCAGCCCTTACTAGATACTAGATTAGATTGCATTTGTTTTTGGTAGGTGTACATAATAAACTGGGAACATGGTGTACCGGCAAAAATATGTGTAAGCGTGTGCATATACGTTTCTGTGTGTGTGTGTCTGTATGTATGTATGTATGTATGCATGCACACAAATTTGTGTGTACAGCGAAACTCAGGCAGCTTCGTCAGACCAAGGAGGAGGCCTTTCTGAAGTGGGGACAGAGTCTTGTACAACCAGGCCAGGAACACGCTGACTAAAGAGGTCAAAGCTGCAAAGAGGTGCTACGCTGAAAAGCTAAATAACAGCTTTGCAGCCAATGACCCTGCGTCAGTGTGGGGAAGCCTACAGACACTCACAAACTACAAGAGACCATCCCCCAACACTGCTGGTACTCAACGACTGGCAGACAAGCCGAATAGTTTCTACTGTAGGTTTGAAAAGCCCAGAGTCACACCTCTCCCCCACTCCAACGCCATCTTCAAACAGTCACCTTCACCCTCTGACCTCTCACCTGCACTCAAGATCTGTGAAGAGGACGCGAGCCACCTCTTCCAAAGGCAGAAGATCAGGAAGGCTCCTGGACCTGATGGTGTCTCACCATCGTGCCTGAAAATCTGTGCGGATCAGCTGGCCCCCATCTTCACTCAGATCTTCAACAAATCACTGGAGCTGTGTGAAGTTCCCTCCTGCTTCAAACGCTCCACAGTCATCCCGGTCCCAAAAAAACCCTCCATCTCTGGACTGAATGACTACAGGCCTGTCGCCCTGACATCTGTAGTCATGAAGTCCTTTGAAAGACTGGTGTTGGCCCACCTGAAGGACATTACAGGCCCCCTGCTGGACCCCCTGCAGTTTGCCTACAGGACTAACAGGTCAGTGGATGATGCTGTCAACTTGGGTCTGCATCACATCCTGCAACACCTCAACTCTCCAGGGACATATGCAAGGATCCTATTCGTGGACTTCAGCTCGGCGTTCAACACCATCATCCCGGACAACCTCAGCACCAAACTCACCCAGCTCACTGTGCCAGCCTCCACCTGTCAGTGGATCACAGACTTCCTGATTGACAGGAGTCAGCAGGTGAGGCTGGGAAACATCACATCCAGCACCCGGACTATCAGCACTGGTGCCCCCCATGGGTGTGTGCTCTCCCCACTGCTCTTCTCCCTCTACCCCAACGACTGCACCTCAGGGGACCCATCTGTCAAACTCCTGAAGTTCGCTGACGACACAACGGTCATCGGCCTCATCCGGGACGGTGACGAGTCGGCCTACTGACGTGAGGTTGGTCAGTTGGCTCTCTGGTGCGATCAGAACAACCTGGAGCTTAACACGCTCAAAACTGTGGAGATGACCGTGGACTTCAGGAGGAGCCCCCACACTCTGTCCCCCATCACCATTCTAAACAGCCCTGTGTCTGCTCTGGAATCCTTCAGGTTTCTGGGATCCACTATATCCCAGGATCTGAAGTGGGAGCCCAACACTGACGCCATCATCAAGAAGGCCCAGCAGAGGATGTACTTCCTGCGTCAACAGACTCAGGAACAGTTTCTTCCCACAAGCCATCACTCTGATGAACAGCTGATTTCTGACTCACAGTGTCAGGAACAATTCCTGTGCAATAACCCAGTAACTCTGTCTCTAAGCCACCTGTTTACTGGTTTCCACTTATTATTTATTTATTCACCTCTATTTCAGTGCTGTTCATACTACGTTCATACTATGTCATATTGTACATACTGTATACCAATACACCTACCTCAGGTCATAAGGTCATAGGTCTTATTTATTTTTTCCAGCATCCTTTGCACTATGCTCCATCACACTGTGTACATGTGTACAAGTATGCATGTACTGTATGTGTATGTGTACCTGTATATCATATCCACCTTCAACATGTACATAATGAGAATAGTTTACTCTTGCATCCTTTGCACTCTGATTACTGCATTGACATTTGTCAATATGTCTATATTGTTTTGTTCACAGTGTGTATATTGTGTTGTCTACTCTGTAGTTTGTGTCTGATTTTATATTATTATTATTATATTATTATTTTATTATTGTATAAGTAAGCACATCTTGAGCAATGTACAATCCTGAGTCAAATTCCTCGAATGTGTACACATACCTGGCAATAAAACTGATTCTGATGTGAATATACAGTACACCTATACACCTGTGCACAGTACTAGCCTGGTACCAGACCTCGGAATCACCTCAACATCCCAATTTGTTAAGCAATTCAAACAAGTTTGGTTCTGTGATGTTCTTTCCCAGTTGCAGAAACAATCAACCAGTCTGAGCTTTGTAGGCAGAATAACTAGAATAACTACATAGCTAGCTAGATACATGGCTACATCCATGAAAAAATAGCAACAGAAATACGGCAAAGAGGTGATCAACAGAAGTTACTGTAATTGATTTACAGAAATAACTCTAACCAAGTGGTTAAAATGCATACCATATAACAGCAACATGGTTCAATTCTAGCAGGCGAACTTTGTTGCATGTCATGACCCTTATATTTACTGTCTCCACACTATCAGCTATCAAATAAAGGCAAAAAAGCCA